TTTAATTTGACTTCTTGAAGACTTTTAATTTTTCTAAGTAAATAATTTATTATTTTAAACCGATAAATAATTCTTTTTTTTTTTAGCTGTGAAAGTCATTTTATATTTTTATCTAAAATTAATATTAATAATAATAATTTACATATTTAAAATTACGTCAACGAAAATATTTTCAAGCTTCCATCGCGCATTATAAATGATTCTACTTGCTCGAAATATTAAACGATTCTCCATTAAAAAAAATGTGAAATAATTAATTTTTATGAGTAATAATCGTTAGAAATTCCTTAAAAAAATAATAAAATAATTTTTTATTCGAAGTAATTTTATTTTATAATCGTATCTTGGCTTATTTTTCAATATTTTAAATGTCAACAGAGTCATTCATAATTTTAAAAATATATATATAGAGAGAGAAAGAGATTTATAAATAAAACGAATTAATAAATTATATAATGAAAAATACCATTAACTAATGATAAAAATAATCCTTAATTCGTATTAAATTGGTTATTTTAATTATCATTTAAATAATCTTACAATTAATTTTTCTATTTATATTTTATTAAATTCATTCTGAATATATTTTGAATTGATTAATGATTAAACTAATTAATTTTGAATGATTAAAATATTTATAAGTTTCATTCAAATTAAAAAAAAATGATGATTTAAAATGACTTTACAGTTATTAAATTAAATTTCCTCATTTATTTTATCATTTTAAGTTAAAATAAACTATAAATTATAATAAACCGTAGAAGTTTATATTATATAATTCGGATTTAAAAGTGAAATTATTTAATATTTAAGAGATTTAATTATCTAAATTTTACTTATTATTTTCATGATAATTATTGGCAAATCATTTTAAAAAATAAAATTTAATAAAATATATTATTAAATAAAGATTTAAAGATGAATTTATTTCCTTTAAATTCGATTTCTAGCATTAACCGGTCGATCAAATGATAAAATAAATTATTTTTATTGATAAAACTCGCTATAGAGTTAATAAAATAAAATTATTCCGCTACAAAATCATTTCAAGTAAGTAATTAAATTTGAAATTTAATAATTTTTCGTAACTTTCGTCATATTTAAATTGATTATAAACATTAAAAGCTTCGATAGAAATATCACAAATAATAATTAAGTTTAATTAATAAATATAATTATATATTAATGATATTTATTAAGAAAAAATATGTTTTTCTTTTTTTTATCCATCAGTAAATAAGGTCTACAACCCATACAGTAGTATATAAATATTAAAAAGCATTCAAGGATATTCTTTACACGAAAAAGGAGGTTTTTACGAATTTCCTTTCAACTTTTAAGATGTAATTTATAAGTATTTTATTACAGAAGTAATACAACTTTAACACATTTCAAGAGTTCCTAAAATGTGTTTATATACTTTATACTTTTTATTACTTTTTTTTTATTATAAATACGAACTTATGCTATAATTATGTACATTAAAATGGATAACGATTCTTCGCTGGAATGTTATATTAAGCAAACAATAGAAGAGAAACTCGTATAAAACTCTTATGGCATGTGAGAAGAGAAGATAAGCAACATGAGAACGTCCACATCATCCGACTTATGCATCTAAGATAAACATAGTTTATACTGATTAAGTTTAAAGCCTTTTAAATCCATTATTGTATAATCTATCTGGTAAATATTTATAATTAAACTTATCTCGTGCCGTAACTAGTGGATAAAGCTTAATTTCTAATATATTAAAATTCTTTAAATGAATTTAATTACCGGAACTGTGTTACGTTTATGTTTAAAAATGATGAATTAACTATTATTCAGACTTTTATTTTTAAATTGAATAAAGAACGTAACGGTTTATCATTAATTCATTTCTTAGAAAAAGACTGTATAGGACTATACATATTAAATGTTGACATTACGATAACGCCTACATCACGGAGTCATTGCAGCAATTTTGAGCCAATATGCTAGCTTGTATAGTATTTATTTTTAGAATATTAACGGTTAAATCTTATAAATTTAACCTATCGATTGGGAAAAAGCTATAAAAGTATCGAATGTGCCTCTAATAGCAAGAGTATATTAAGGTTGATGATGCTTAATCTCATATCACTTTCTAGGAAACGATATTTTGTTTCATAGTAAAGTAAGGACTATGAACTGATCAATTACACATAATAGTGAGATATATGAGAAATATTCACTTAAATATCTTATCAATAAGTTAATCTACGTATATTTATTTTTAGGCAGTAATGGACATTTTCTTAAAAATTCTTTAAAAATAAATGGCAAGAATTGAGATTTTTATAATCTAAAACCTGTTGAGAGATTTAAAAAAATAAATATATATAAACTAGTTTAGATTATAATTTTCAGTTTCAAGAAAATAATCATAGAAATTTTCAACGTAAATAGATTTTACATATATAATATGTTATGATATAAAGATTATTTTATGTAGAGAAAGATCCATTCATCATTATCTGATGATAAAACACTAGATTACAATTATCAAACGCAGGAAATATTTCTAAATGTATTTTTAAAATTTCCCAATTAATCATTTCTTACATATGATTTCATCTGTAAAGTGTTTAGTAAGAAATTAGGACGAGTTACAAGTCTGAATGCAAAACATACAAACACACACACACATATATATATATATAGTGTGTGTTTGTATGTTTTGCATTTCGGGCTATCTTTGTTTGTCGGATGCCGATTCAAGGACGAAACGACTTGCTTCGTATGAAAAATTGCTGCGATAAGTTAGCACAAAAAGATAAAAAGGGTCAAATATCACTTATGTAGATATGTGTTATGACGTAATAAATATCAGTGACGAACAATAGGAACTCAGGAAACAACACAGACGAAAACAGACAAGATAAAAGTTAGACAGAGGGGGGGGTACGCAACTGTTTGCGTTTTCCTACACCAGAGAGCGTCTCGATAAAGTACCGGGGTGACGTTACGGAGCCAAACTCGCCAAAAGCGCTTCCGCGATGTTGCCACGGTAACGGACGTTTTCCATTACCCCGACGGGTTGGAAAATACTCTCTCTCGAACAAATTTAATATTATTTTGAAAATTTAATTTAAAAAAATGTAAAACTCCAAATAGATTATTAATATAATACACAACTTAAAAAAAAAACTTACATTAACGTCGAGCGTGATAATTTATAAAAATTCGCGTAAAATCGAATAATCTTTCAACATCAATTACTAATGTCACACATTCAACATACCACAGTTACCATAGTTACATGGGGGCAAAACATCTGCCAGACGTAACCCCCAGGGGTCATTCGCCGACCTTGATACATAAGTTGTCATGGATACAATAAGCGAAAGGAAGAGAATCCCGCATATCAATATTGACGTCATTTAAGATTTGAGGAACCTTATATAACTTTTCCTTCTTTTAAATTTCATTTAACAATTTTTCAAAACTCTTTTTAAATATTCATAGACGTTATAGTTGTATAAACATGCCTTTATTATTATTAAATAATGAAACACTTTCTGTTATTAAAATCGATTTAATTTACTTATGGTATGTATTGACGTGTATGACACAACGAATACAACAAAAAAAAAGGAAATTTTTTAAAAGGAAATTACGTCAGATGTTGTTTACTTAACCCCTCAGTTACATAAAAGTTCTTGGAGCCAACAATCTCTAATCTAGAATCTGTAAAACAAAAAGCTATCTCGTGTTGAAAATACACGAAAATTTGGAATTTTGGTCAAAGAAAGAACGAAAAAGTGAGATGTCAAAATGCAGGAATTTTATTTTATCTCAGGGTCATCGACCCAACTCGTCTATTAAAGATTGTTTTATAAAAATTTAAGTTGCAGCCAGAAAATAAAATCAAGTGTTTAGATACAAAGAAATATACGATATTTAATATATAAAATATTTCTGGACATGTGCTAAGGATAAAATAACTCGAGCAATCCGAGTAAAGTAAATCTATATGGCTACACCATTTCTAACATAACTTCGAAATTAACTTCAAGGCCGGATGAAAACTACACAATATCAAATACCCTCAACAATAATGGCAATTACGGAATTAAAATTACTTAACAAAACTAAACCGTCTTCAGATGCAAAATTATATACTGTACATTTTAAAACAGTCGGCTCGATAACGAGAAGTAGTACGTCGCCTTTTAATAAATTTATTTATATTTAGCCTATGTAATAGAAAAAAGGTGTGTACGAATGATATATGCGGATGATTGTCATAATAAAATTTGGGTTGTGTTAAAACTACAAGAGGCAGATAGCGATAGGGTTTTTTTATAGCAACAATTGCTTATTTTTAGAGCGAATTTACATTAATCGCTATCCTTGCACATATATGGATTTACGAACTATTACGGTCCACCTAAGCCAGTAAGGAATAGCGCGACCCATTTACAACCACCTTAAAAACCGAAAGGGTTACAGCTGTTTAAAGATACTAGAATTCTACTCACCTATAAAAATAACATAGAAGAAACATAGAAGATAAAATCGTGCCTTCAACATAATTGAATCATCCGATCATCGAAACCCATTCTCGTTCTTCGGCATCTCACATACTCTTCGAATATTTAAAAGAAAATTTTTTTTTAATTATAATTGTAACAACATGGAAATTAAAAGAGCTTTCCACCGATTCCTGTTCTATGCGAACACAACAAAGTTAAGGGAGTAAAAACTGCACCGCTTTCAACCGTATGTACAGTTCGTAGGGGGATAACGAGTCTATACTCCCCTATATTTGTATGGGGCATACGTCGCCTGTCCAGACGTCCACCGAAGTCCAACTAAATTGCCACAAATGTATCCCCCTCGACAAGCATCCAGACTCTCTGAACCGGTCTACGGCGCCGACACAGACAGGTAGCTACCAAACTCTAGTCTGAAGGGGGTTGCGGCAGTCTAGCGGAGGGGAGGATTCTCTCCTGGATACGGCTATTTAGACGACCATGACGTCACTGCCTGACGTCAGCTACAGTGTATGTCGATTACCGCAGATGTCTGTGCCTATCGCACTCGCACCCGTGTTCTATACTCGACGCTCAACCCTTTTGTTTTCTCTTAAAACAACAATAACAAAAAAAAAAAACGCATACATGTCTGTCCGTATATAGTTTCATCTGACCTTTTTTTTGTATTTTTAATCCGTTGTCGTATCGATTAACAATCGAAAAAATTTTATTCGTGGTCGTAAGGTTGTTGTATACAGACTGAAAAATGTTGTCTTAATGATGCCGTAGCACGTCTCGTTGCAACGACCTTACAAATAATTGTTTCTACATCTTTGGTACATTGATCAAATTTAATTTAACACTGGCATTTTTATGATTGATTACGCGAATTTTGGTTCCGGTTTTGCATAAATTATTAAAATTTCGTGTCTTCTGGCGGACTTTTTTTTTATATTTTGTGGATATTTAAATGGATATTTGACGGAGAGGGAAGGAAAAACACGATAGCCCGAAACGTAGACGGATAATTTAGACTACAAAGAGAATTTGTGAATCGAGCAATATCGGAGTCCTTGTGTAATAGACAATGGCATAAACCTTCCTCCAGACAGAAATGTCTATAAATAGAAGAATGGCGATCAATGAGATTTAATAAAAAGATCAAAAAGTTTTTAACATTCGGCGTGTCCATCGTCGACAATTTCGAAATACAACTAAACAACTAAAGTTATTTGCTTAAGAAGCAAAATCGATCAAGTTTATTTTTTTCTCGTCGAGTATAAAAATCAATTCTCTGATTACATCTTCTTCTCTTAAGAAATATGCAACATTTCAAGCAATTATATAATTAATAAAAAATTTTTAAAAAATCGCATAGGTTATAACATTTTCCACTTTTCTTATTCTATTAGAAATATCTTTTAATTCAGAAATTCCTCGAAATTGTGCAATTCATATCAAAATATTATTTCAGACAAAATTATCAACGGTACAAATTCTTATAAACAGGATAGTTGCAGTTTTGAAATATCATTCGTTACTTTCCATAAATATTTAGACAAAGAAAAACCTCAAAATTCTGATATTTTATGCATTCTTCGAAATCTATATGCTTTATTCTCAAAATAATCTGCACACGTTTTGCTTTTTCAATGTATTTATATTGAATAAATACGATTCTCCGTTCTAGATTACCTGTCACAACTGTTCATGTGTTTAAATGAATGCAGAATTTTTTACGATTTCTTTCTTATTTATTTTTTTATAGATTTTCGAGCTTTTTTTTCTCCTCCTTTTTTCCCTTTTTTTTCTTTTTTTATATAAACGAAGCTTTCATTCGACTTTCTCTCCGATGGGTCGTAATTGATACAAACTCGTTAGATTTGATGACAGCGTCATCTGTGGAGAATAAGAAATATTATTTTTATCAAATAAATTTAAAAAGGAAAAAAAGATCCTAGAAATTTAATTTAGTATCTCGGAAATAATTTTTAGAAACGTAATCAATCAAAAGATGCTTAAATTAATTTTGAAAAACTATTTGATTGATTTCATCCCATTAAGAATATATATTTATTTTTTAATTCGAGAATGGATTAACTGGCGGATTAATGTCATCTTCAAAAGAATAATCTCGCTAGTAAGCCACTATGTTAATTGGATTAAGTTTTCATCGTTTTCAAGGTTTCTTCGGGTTTTACAGGAGGAAAATTACAACAGCAAAACGTGTTTTATATACCGTAGAAGCGGACATGACCAGCAAAAGGAGAAACTCGCTAGATAAACTTCAAGGTAAGTCGCTAACGTTAATACTTTTTTTTATATCCGATCAAATTACAGCCTTATAAATCCATTAAACGAAAATTAAATCGAAAAGTTTGCGTTTTCATCCAATAAATTTTATAAACAATCAACTTTAAATACGATTTAATAACTATAAAACGTGGCAAAATCAACTTTAGTACTTCCAGATAGATATTTACCGTGTCAAAACCTTAACTGATAAAACAAAAATGCACGTCAATATTCAGTTCTTCAAATCCTTTGATATTTTATGACAAATTTAATTTAAGTTCTTTAAAATATTACACTTAAAGTCATTGCCATTTTAATAGTACTGGCCTATTTAAAGATGTTAGAGTTAGTTGAATTTTAATATTTCCTTCGGGAGATAATAAAATTTGAATATCAGATCAGCGGATATTTGTTATTATCGTAAAAATTATGCTAAAATATCTTAAAAAATTATTATAAAACGTTAAATATAATCCGTTTAATGATATAAAAGATAGCGTGTATACGAGTAATCTTATAGTTGTTTTGAGCAAATTTAAATCGGGTTAGAAAGTGGAATTGTAGAAGTGGGAGACCTAATTTTACCGATTCAAGTTTAATAATTTACTATTAAAATTCGCATTTCTGATACACTCGAATGCTTAGCAGTAATATAAAATGCAAAAATCAATGGATGTACAGTGTAATGATTGCAATCTATTCCGTTACCTTACTGCTGTATTATTTCCAGTTTTACGTGCGGTTTATATTATTTTTTAGGGAAATTTTACGATAATATTTATTTTATCTCGAGTTATTTAATGTGCAATAGCGAATTATTTATTTGTGTTATTCCAAATGTCGGTATTCGATGAAACAAAAACGTGTTGTCTTCACTTTATACAGACATCTGGATAAAATAAAGGCGCATTAGTTAGAATAAATATATTTGTACGCCAATAAAAATGGCGTATAATATTTATTTATAATTATAAAAGAATTTAACTTTAAGTTTTTTTTTAAAAAAAAGTTATTAAAAACCACATGAAAATAAGTATTTAAAAATTAAATTAGCGACGAAATACATGAAAAGATTGTTGTATAACAGAATGACTAACAAAATTGAAGTATTGAATAATCATCTAAATTATTACCTCAAGATATTAAAGAAAAAAATATTGCAAAATAATAATAATTAAACAAGAATTTCAAGTTTAGCCAATACACTATTTTATATTTTTATTTCTTTTTTATATTAGGAATTTTTTCTCGATGATGTTGTTTTAATGAAAAAAAAATAGTCGAAGTGATGTTTTATACATGTAATTTTGAAATGATAACATACGTTTGTGCATATAATAATAATAATATGCACATCCTGTTCATGTAATAGATTTATTATTAATATACTCGTAGCAGTTGGATATCAAAAATATTTATAATTCAATAAAGTAACAAGAGTTTTTTTTTCTATTAAAACTGAGAAATATTTAAAAATAATAGCCTAATAAATAAATAAATAACGAAAAAGTGTTATATTTTCCTCGTTTTGTTGAGTTAGGCTATATATAGTAGAACAGAATCTATAACCTAGATGTATAAGTATATGAAACATATACCTTATAAACAATGCACATGAAACAATTTTAAAAGTAACTTATACAATTTTAAAAGTAACTTTCACAGTTCCCTTATTTTGATTAATATTCAAAATTAACTTTTATTGTAACGTAGCAAAAGTTTGATATTCTGACCTTAAGCTTGCGTTATTATTTTTTTAAGAAGAAATCATTAGTTTACGTAAACCTTGAACAGGAAAATGAGAGGAATGACGTTTCACATCCTTCCTTAAGCAGTAAGGTTATAGGGTGATTTTTCAATCGACACTGATTAATAATCACTTTTGGTATTATTGATATATTTACAGATTTCACTGTTTTTTTGCTGAAAAATCGAGATCTTTTGATGTTTAAAGTAACTTCATTGTGGATCTGGTTTCAACAACTGATCGTATTTCTCAGAAACCTTTCAAAACCAAGTTCGTGGAAAGAATTATGGAACAAATTGCTGATGATGATGTGCGCTATAAAAACCAGTAAGATTTTTAAAATATATTTTTTGATTCAAAGCCAAATTAAGTTTATTATTTTATCAAAGATATATTTAGATACGTTATTGATATATAATTTAGATACGTTATTGATATATAAATTAGTGATGATTTCTCAATTTTAGGATTTACAGTAGATGCTAAGGAGAAACGCCGTTTATTAGAATGGGTATCTAGTAAAATCTCTCATGGTAAAAAGCCTACAGATTTTACTGATTCCTGGAAAGATGGTATAATTCTCTGCGCTTTAATTGAAGGAATAATCGAAGGTTCGTGTCCTAGATACGACCTCCTTCATGAAGATCAGGCGGCTTCCAACTTGAGTCTGGCTCTACATTTAATTGAAAATAACATAGGAATCAAACCGGTAAGAATTTTAATAATATTCATATTTCTATCCAATACATGTAATAAAATGTTATACATTTATTCAGAGTATGAGTGTCGACGATTTTCTTAATTGCGATTTTACGACAGAACGTAAATTGATTTGTTTGGTTTCGCAATTAAAACTCGCATCGGCCAAACTTCGATTGAAATCGGTAATTCAGAGACCCGTGATCAAATTAAATGCGGTAACTGTTATTGGGCCCAAACAAGACTGTGTAGCAAAAGGAATGGGCTTGATGTTGGCAGTTAAAGGAAGAAAGGCCAGATTCAGCATTTTCTTAAAGACAGGTTGTACCATGAATATAGTTATCGAAATCCGGGGACCAAATAATACGCTTTGCAGCGAAAGAATCACCAATAGATCTCCAAAAAGAAGAGTGCCTATGGAACAGAATGAAGAAGAGACTAAAAGGAAAATTCCTTTTGAATATATTATTCAACCTAAAAAGATTGTTGTCAGCTATACACCTTTAGTGAAAGGGGAACACAAACTTAGTATTATCTGGCAAGGGCAGCACATCATGGGAAGTCCTTACACCATTTCAGTTGACGATGCAAAGAACATAGGTTCTTTAACACCTCGCAAAAACTTGGTACGTCCTCTTCACAGAGCAGAAACTGAAGATGATTTACTAACGAGAAGATGCAAGTGTAAAAATAAAAAAGAAATGTATTCAAATGTAAATTTAGGATCGGTTAGAAAGCGTCGTATTTTACGTCATTTTGTAATGATCGATGGCAAAGAAATTGTTATAGAAGACAGTAGTCCGGAGAAATTAACTAAAACAATCAGAAATTTTACGTTTGGTAAAGAAAACAGTAATGATAACTCTTCGAATAGAAAAACAGTCAAGAATTTAAACGATGATGTAAATATTCAGACGGATATTAATTTTGATTTCAAATACAAGTTTGATGGAGACCCACAAGCTTCGATTACCGATAATTCGAATTTTATAAAAATGCAATCTGGATCAACCCCAATAGAATTTGGAAGTAAATTATTAAATAATACTCATCGATCGACACGAATAGATTTAGATTGTCGTACTGAAGAGAGAGAACATTTGAATGAAAATGTAAAGGATACACTAAAGCCACCCATATGTGATACGTCTATTATTGAAAGTCAAATACAAAATGATAATTTTTTTGTAGATTCAGAAAAAACGTCAGATGAGAATTCAAATTTACAATCGAATACAAATATATTTCAGTCAAATTTACAATGTTTTGCCGACGAATCTGATGATATTATAGATACTTCGAAACAAAAAGATTCAGATAATTTCAATCATTCAGAATTCGAGCAAAACAATGAAACGAAACAGAAAATTTTGTCTTCTCCCTTGAATTTGGCCAAATTCGATTCTCTAGAAATATTCAATTGCGACATTAAATCTTTAATTGCTCTTAAAAAACAACGTGATTTAGAAAATCTCAAAGTAGAAGAAAAAATGGATATTGCAATTAATCGGAAACCTTCGGAAGAATCAAATTTAATTGATAGAAAACCATCGGAAAAATCAAACTTAATCGATCGAAAATCATCGGAAGAATCAAACTTAATCGATCGGAAACCACCAGAAGAATCAAACCTAATCGATCGGAAACTCTCGGAAAAATCAACTTCAATTGATTGGAAACCATCGGAAGAATCAAACTTAATCGATCGGAAACCATCAGAAGAATCAAACCTAATCGATCGGAAATCTCCGGAAGAATCAAACCTAATCGATCGGAAACCATCAGAAGAATCAAACCTAATCGATCGGAAACCTTCAGAAGAATCAAACCTAATCGATCTTTCTTCTCCTATTTTTAGCCAATCAAATAAATCTGTATCCAAAAACCCCGAAATGTTAGTAAATGAAATTCAAAACGATTCGTTTGTTGTTAGAAAAAGAAACAAAGAAACAGTTTTGAAAGACTGTTCGTTTACACAACATAGTAAAAGATTTGGACAGCATTTTGAATGTTTAGATATTAATGTTAATGATGTTAGTTTTCCATCAGAAAATATAAATGAAATAAAAAATTATAAAATTTTCAAACATCAACCAATAACATTTGAAGTATTTTCTACTTCTTTTGAGGAACACGAAATGAAAAACGATGACGACTTTAATGACTTAACAGAATTGAAACCACGAGATCGGAATTATGCAAAATCCGATCAAAATTTACTTGAAAATGAAACTAAAGATACGTCAACAATAAAAGAATGTTTGGAGAATATTCCTGTGACTGAAACCATTAGGATTGGTGAAACGAAAGAAAAATTATCGAAAAAAGAATCTTTTGATTCTACAGAAAATATCTCAGTGGTTGAAAATATCAAGAATGACTCCGAAGAGGAAGAACTGCAATTTAAAGATTTAGTACAAACTAAGAAACAATATTGGGAAAAAAAATTAGAAGTAAAAGAAAAATTTCCTGTTAAGCTACCTCGAAGAACTGAAGGCAATCGAATCAACCGATTAAAATGTTTTTGGCAAAATATTAGTGATTCTTAGCTTCATTTTCTTTCCTTAAGGTGAAGAGCATAAATCTAAAATTAGATTTTTGAATTTTATTGATTATTTATTCAATAATAGCAATTAATCGAAATGATTATATGCTATTTTGTATTGAACCTAAAAAGCTTATTGAAAGCTAATTCCTCTTTAGACTTTTACGATTGCTGATTTACTTTCATAGCACTAATGCTTAAAAGAAGAAAACTCAATTTACTAAAATAAAATCTTTAAAGTGATAGTTTCAGTTCAAAGCATGGTTACAGAAAAATATCAAAACGAATATCACTATATATGTACTAACATCTATATGTTAGCTTCAAAAAAGAACTGCCAGAAGAGGATGTCCATTTCCCAGTTGAAATGCTTCGGCCAGTATAATCATTGTAAATAAAGACTGGAATTTTTATAAAATATCAAAGTCCAAATATGATACACATAAAATTTCTAATTTCTAGGATCAAGTTTGTTACACAAAGTTTTCAACTCTCTACTGATTCTAAGGACAGCTTCAATTTTTTCAATTATTATTGACGATCCTAATCCATGATAGGATGATCAACGTGAATGAGCAATAAGGAAACTTAAGTCCTTTTATATGAAAAAAAATAATCCAAAAACACAAGTAAGAAAAAAAGCAAACGATCGGCATCGAAAACAAATATAAGATGTACAAAAATATTGTTTGTTTGAATATTTTCTGCATACAAGAACAAAGTTTTGTGATAGTTGAGATTAAATTGTAAATAAAAAGTATTTCATTCGATATCGAAATACAAAAATCTTCCTCAATACAATGGATCATTCATTGTTCTAAAAAAGATAACAAATTGAAAGGTAATATACATAATATGATTATTCATATTGGTACGATTCGATCAATATTTACAGTATACCAGTACTTTTCAACCTTTTTCTAATAGTGGTGCCCCAACTTGTTAATTTTTTCTTGCCACATCCTTACTTCTTTACATACTTTAATATGCATTGTAAATACAAGTACAGTGCAATTAGTTTAAATTATATACTGTATTTCCAATAAAATAATTAAAAGTATTAATTATTTAATACCTTTGTAATTACATATGAATATACAATTACTTTTGATAATACACGTAAAAACCGTTATGGTGCGTGCTGCTCATCACCACATTTCGCGTGACCTCTGAAGTATCATTGCAGCATCCCGGTTGAAAATCTTGTATACTGTCCAAAAAACCTGTATCAAAATTGGACATCCAAATGAAAAAATATCTTTCTACATTTTATATTTGACATCTTATATTACATTTTACATTTTTTATGTCCAATAAACGTGCTTCCTTGTGCTCTTTGGATGTATATATTAGAATTATGATTCTTTCTCTGATGTCCCTCCATACTTCGGTGATAGCATAGAGCACAGGGCTTTGTCGTAGTACGTTTATTTTACATGTAAAATTTTTTTTTCATGTCAAACTTTGAAATAAAAATTTGGGAATTTTTTTAAAAAAGTAAAAAATAATACAAGAACTAAAATATTTTTCATTCAATCAACAAAATACAGACATTTAAAACTGATAAATGTAAAAGTGATGTATGTATATAATGTCAATTGTATTTTATGAATAATTAAAATTCAAAATTTTTAGTTTGATTTTCGCTCATTATTTGAATTCTTAAAAATAACTTTTGACTTTGCTGCCTTAAGCACATTATTTTCCTTAGATACAAAATATATACTTCATCTTTACTGTGATTTGAATTTTTAAAGAAGTTATGCTGTGCAGGACCCAGTTAAAGAAGCTGCAACTGACCCGTGAATATTTATGTGGCTAAGTATCGGAGATGACCTTCCCCCTCAACTTCCTTGGCTCCAGCAGAGAGCTTCTCAGGTCTTCGAGATGAATGCAGATGACTTTTCCCATACAATCTACATACAAGTTTACGTTGCATTCATAATTCATAATTGAAAAATCTCGTTACACAAAGGAATTTCAGGAACGAGAGTAAGTGTACAACATTTGGAAATCACTGTCTACCCCGAGAAAATTTTATACCATATATCATTAACTTTCTGAATGAATTTGCTTAATTTCGTTGTTTGAAAATAATACACCTTTAGACTTTATTATTAATATACAATTTTTTTTTTTATTTTCCCGGCTCTGTTATTTATAACAGAGGAGAAGTATGGCTATCGGTAATAAAATGACTGCCAAGATTTTTACATTTTTGGACTCAGGGGATCCTGAAACTTCGAGAAATGCAAAAAATCGGGTTTTTTTTATGTATGTATTGATGTTTGGAGGGTACTATTTTGTTCACCCTCTTTGAAGTTCAATAACTCTTGTGCTTTTCTTCGTAAAGTTCTGAAATTTTACTGGAAGGTTTGTGTATTGAGGGATTAATGCTATTAAATTTTTAAGGTTAAAGGTCGACGGGGAGGGAAGATAGAGGGAGTAGTGTGCTAGAGGGATAGAGGGAGTCGAGTAAGATCAGGCTTAATAATGATTTTTCTCGTTATTACCATTTAGACTTTTTATAAAACTCATCCCACCCTCAAAATTAAGCTTTTTGCCATTTTATAATAATTGAAAATTTATAAAAAGCTTTTAAAATAAAATATCGGAATAGATGGTGCCACGCAGTTTTAAATGCTGCCGGGAAAGTTAAGCCACTCGTTGCTGTATTTTTAAATTATTTATACAGTAATTCGTTCAAGCTAATCGTAATTTTAGCTTAATTTAAAGATGTCTACTTTTTGAAACAGAATACCGTTAGTTTTTTCTTTTAAAGATAAAAACTGAATTTTATACAATTAGATGTTACGAGAGAAATCAAATCTCTCTTCAAATATTCGAGAGGTTAATGATAGAAGGAAAAAAAGTAGAATTACTTTTTAAATCAAGTTTTAATATCTTTAGTTTGTTTCCCATTTTTCCATCATTCCAATTTTTTCCGTATAATTTTGATACTGTAATTTTATCGTGTTCTGGATCTTTTATGGAAAGTTGGAAAGGTAAAAAGTGAGTCTTTAAGTGAGAAAAGGACATGATGTAAATTACTGTTGCTACAGCAAGTCAAATATTTTATGAGCCTTTTGATCACAACGCATAAATTTAGCTATCCAGTTCTCACCTGATCTGTCTTTACCAAGAAAGTGAAATATTGTTTAAGTTCTTCAATACGTTTTACAGAACGCTTTTAATATCAATATTTAGTTTGTCATTACTTTGTTTGTCACAAATGTGCAGTCTGCAACATATTGAATATTTTGAGTTCAGTAGTTTACATTTCTGGAAAATCAAATTTGTTTTGTAAAATTAATATCGTTGTCTCAAGAATAAGAGAAAATACTATTAATAATTAACGAATTTTCCATGGGTCGTTTTAAAAATTTATTGAGTTCTCCCAACTGATTATTCATCTTGATCATCAGAAAAATGTAGGTCCTTATTTTATACATTATGTTTCGATGTTCAATATTTTAATACAATTAGAAACAGCTTGATATGGCCGTTGTCTGAAGCATCAATTGCTCAGAATAAAATGTTAAATATGGTTGAAGGATAAGCTAAGTGTAACTTATTTGTGATTTTCTTTGCAGTAGTTGCTACAAATTTTTTTTTTTTGTTTGTTTTAACTGTTGGAATCATGGCCATCCTTAGAACGGGAAAACGGGGCACTTGCCCATTCCTAAGATTATAATTTATGGAATTTTTCACTCAATCATAAAAATGATTGAGATATGTAGCCTTACCCTTGACGATGGAATGCTTTGATGCAATACTGTATTCTATTATCTACTTGTAAAAAACACGAACAATCTAATAAAAATTTATGTAATTGTCTCCAAGCTTCGTCCCCCTGAAAAATTTTCTGCGAACGCCTATGGTAAGAATGTTTATTATGTAGTGCGATACATTTGAATTTCTTTTTTATTTTTGGACTTTCCGCCCCGTGAGCACAAATAAAAGCCTTTTCCATGTCATTGTGAACTCGGCCAAGTCCACAATGGAGTGAGGGACAAACCCCAACATATCGNCGTAAGTTCGGGGTATTACTGTACAGTACTTGAGGTAGCAACCATAATTTTATTGTCTCCACTAGTTGTTACAAATATAGATACTTGAATTATTCAAAAATCAATTAAGCAGTTGATATGTCAGAAGCACTCTTTTTATCATTTTCCTCACCACGAAATACAATAAATAACTTACTCAAGAATAGTTCTGATACGTAATTAATAGCGAGGTTGCAGCCGAAGTTTTCAACGCAAAAACCTGTACGTCGGACGTTCAGCTCCGCCATCCTATAAGCCTAAAAGTTTGACAATGGCGTTTGAAACGTCAGCGGAATCATGCTCGACGTTCCAAACGCCATTGTCAAACTTCTAGGCTTACAGGAAGGCGGAGCTGAACGTCCGACGTACAGGTTTTCGCATTGAAAACGTCGGACGCAACCTCGCTAATATTAAATGGTTTCAATAATCTTTTTTCAAAATAAGTCTTGTAATCGCTATCACAATAGTACAATTATTAATTAAGTTCAAATGATTAAAGACATATTTGAATTATTTAAAGTTGAAATTTCTGCAAAGTTGTTCATTTAAATTTGTTTACTACGAATTTATTTCTTTAGCGGGCAACCAGTGTTTGCCACTTACAAGTTAGCCTAATTGTATTTTCGAAGTTATCGTATGTTGCGGGCATTTCAACTCAAAATTCACCTAAAAACTTGATCTAGCGAAAATCAAAATAGTTGATAACCTTAACATATGCAGAAAAATTAGTCCTCTACGTTAGACAAGATACTTCTACTTTTTTACGAATCATACATCTGAGGAACAAAAAGGAAGATAATTAGCATAAATAATAATGAAAAAAAAATAGAAAACCATGTAGTTAGCTAAAGAAATTGGCAATTTATTCTAAAATCCATAGATTTAAGCATTCAGAATAATTTTACTGAATTGCACTGTTTTCATGCAAAAAGATTTCAATAAAATAAATTTCTGAAAATACTTCTGATAAAAAATATTCTAGTCTTAAATCTCTCTTCAATTGCCAAAATTCTGCATTAGAATATCTTAGAAATAATTACAGCCGTAAAATTACTCTATCCATTCAAATGTAGGAAAAACATTAAATATAACAATTTCTGGTGGTCTGATAAAGTATGGAAAATTGATGATTAATTACAAGCTATTTTCATAATTACCTAAAAAGTATCGCAGTTTTTTGGGAGGCAGAAAAACTTAAATATGTATTTGGGTCATTCTAAGTTAAGAGGTACTTTCAACGTCCATGAGAAAAAAATCACATTTTTTTCAAAAATTTGTTTGAAATAATGTTATCATCTCTCAAAACTCACCATCTTTTTTATGGCCACTTAAATTCATTACTTAAATATACTTAATTTAGTCACAATAGTACTTCAAACATGAAAAACATATCTCCCCTGGCCTGTCCCCTAACCGATTCTGTTCGTGTATCAGTAATTTTAAATACATAGAAATCTATTAAAATATCAAAATCATTCATTTTAATAAAATAGGATAAGTAAATTATTGTAATCTAACAAGTAAAATTACGTAATATTTCTTTTTCATAAAAAAATATTTACATCTAATTTGTCCCGCATTTTTCGCGTCTCGTCCCCTGGCATTTTGTATTTGTCAAAAAACGATGTTTGTTTACTTTGTCGCGGGAAATTGTGACCTTGAACACATTTCATTGGACGTGAAGTTAGCAGCAAGTATCAAGCAAGCTAACCACACAGCAATTTTGTCAGTGATTTCGGTAACGTTACTCTGTGGGT